CAAAGTGGGAGCTGGGACAGAATGTGTGAGGGGAGCCTGGGTCAGAAGAAAGCACTGAGGGGTGAGGGGAAGAGGTCTTGGCTACAGCAGTTGAGGTCGGACTGTTCTCATGCTGGGCATCAAGAGGCTCTGCTGCTGATGCTTTTCCTTTGAGGGTGGTGGCTGGGTCACCTGAGATGGCCAGTTGGCATAAAGTCATTTTCAGATTCCCGTTTTGGGAAATCTTTACACTGCAGTCTCTGCAGTTTACCTGATGCGGGGTTTGCTGCCTCGTTCTGCAGCTTTCAGTCATGGTGACAGGTAACTGAGGTAATCATCTCTTAAAGAAAGGAGGTGTTGTGGCTCGTGGTTTTGGGGGTTCTGGCCTTATTGCTTCGGCCTATGGTGAGGCAGCACATTTTGGTGGATGTGCATGGGAGAGTAAAGCAGGATGCCTCACGGCTGGGAAGCAAAGGGAGGAAGGGGAGAGATTGAGGTTCCTGGTAACCCAAAGACCTCGCTTGGGCTCCATCTTCTACAGTTTCCCCTGCCTACCAAGAGTTCCTAGCTGGAGACCTGGGTGTACTTGGGCCTTGGGTATGTTTAAGATCCAAACCATAGCAGTTGCTATGGGATTTATTTTTTTCCTTTTTATAGTGACAAAATGCACATACTGTAAAACTTACCATCTTAAACATTTTTAAATGAATAGTTTATTCACATTAAATACACTCACATTGTTACACAGCCATCACCACCTTCTACCTATAGAATTCTTCTCATTCTGCAAAACTGCAACTCTGATGCCATGAAACCTAATTCCCATTCCCACACCCACAGCTCCTGGCAACGACCACTCTAGCATCGGTCTCTACAAACTCAGCTCCTCTGCTCTTGGAAGTGCAGTCGTGCCGTGTTTATTGCCTTTCTGGCTGGCTTTTCTCCATGTACCACAAGGTCCTCGAGGCTCATCCATGTGGTTGCCTGTGTCAGCACACCCTCCTTTTTAGGGCCGGGGCTCCGGAGTGTGCACAGACCACATTTTGTTTAGCTGCGTGCTCATCGTGCACAGCTCTCTACTGTGAGGGGTAGAATGATACTGCTGTGATACAGGTTCACAGACATTGCTTTGAGTCCTCCTTTTCAGTTATTTTGGGCACATACCTAGAGTTGGACTTCGGATCACATAACTCTTCAGGTTTTTGAGAACCCACCACCTTGTTCCCCCACCATTGCATTGGCACATTTTACAGTCACAGTAACGCTGCAGAAGGGTTCCAGTTTTTCCACGTTCTTGCCAACACTTGTTCTTTCCTGAGGCTTTTGTTGTTTTTAATAGTATGGCTATGCGATAAATATAAAATCGTGTGTGCTACTATTTCTTAAATCTCATTTTTGCAGATGTTTCAAAGCTATCATTTATTGCCTGGCATCCCAACCAGAGCGTAAATTGGCTGTCAAAGTCACATCCACACCTGCACCCAGCACTCCTGAAGGGCCTGACCGCCTTTCGAGGGGTCCGCTGGATACAGCTCTGAAGAAGAGCCTGGCGCTTGTGGCACCCCGGGCACCCCAGGCACAGCCCTCTGCCAGAGCCGTCCTCCAGATGGGGATAGTGGCAGTGCCTGAACTTCCTCACAGAGTTGGCCCTGGAGATAAAAAGGCTCTTGGAAATTGTAGAGCAAGAGCAAAACCTCTGAGTTTGACAGGATAAAAAAAAGCCAGAAGAGAAAAGGGGAGGGCGCTGCTTCTTAGTAACGCATGTAGGCGATTTCACGTTCATAGAAACAAATGGAATTACGGAGGAGGCCGCTCTGCCGTTCTCAACCACAGATTGTTTGAAATCCTTTTAGAGGAAAATTAAAATATTTCACAGAGGGTAATAAAATGCCGGGTGTTTTCCAGCCCAACTGCTCAGCTCTCTTGGACCAATAAATAATTAGACATTTTTATTTGAGCCTCAGTATCGTCGCCACTTTCTTTCCTTAGTGGAGGGGGAAAACTACTGTGGAGAATACATAAAACTCTGGAAATCACCAGGAAGTTAATTATGAAACTCTGTGTGTGTGTGTTTTCCTTTCTTAAGTACAACATGACAGTCTATTGTGGAGACAAAACAAAGCTCTTAGAATTTATTTTCTTAAAGGCCAATAATGTGTGCTGTACCCAGGCTTGTTCTGCTTTCAATGAAGTCTCATCAAAGACCAAGCCCTTCAGGGCGCTGGCTGCTGAGACGTGGGTCAGCGTGGCTGACGTGGAAGTAAGCGTGGCTGTGGGAGCTGGAGATTTTCCCAGTCGTTCCTGTCCACAGCCCCAGCCACTCCTCTTTGCTCTGCTGTCTCTCACAGAGTCACTTGAAGGAAAGGGTAGGTTTCGCTCTTAGCTGGAAATCATCTGCTCTGGTACCCGCTTTTCATGGTTGGGAGCTGCTCCTTACCCCTGAGCCCTGCCCGCAGAAAGGCAAAGGAGATGCAGGCCATGACCAGCTGGTGCTGGAGGGCCTGTTTGTCCCTGTGCAGCAGATCCATGCTGGCATCATCTTGAACCCACCTTCCTCCTTCCTGGCTGCTCTTCTGAGCAGGAAAGAAGCAGTCCTCAGGAAGAGGATCCAGAGCCTCTGTGCAAAGCTGGTCTGAGACCCCCCAAACACACACACAATCACTGCTGGAGCCAGGTGTGGGTGTTACACACCTGTAATCCCAGCACTCTAGGAGGCTGAAGCGGGAGGATCACAAGTATAAGCCTAGCCTAGACAATTCAGCAACTTAGTGAGGTCCTATCTCAAAATTGAAAATATTATTTAGAAGTTGGGGGATATAGCTCAGTTAAAAATCCTTGGGTTCCATCTCCAGTACTGTAGAAACAGACAGACTGCTGAGGTGGAGGGAGACTGGGAGGTGGTTATTACCATTCTTTCCATTTCAGAAATCTCTCCGGGGTTTGTGTTTCTCTCTTGTGGCTTTTACTAGTGCTGAAACTACCTCCACCTGCATGGCTGCATGTTAATTTTCAGTGATGCCTGAATGTGTGTGTGCACGTGGGCCTACAAGGGAAGTAAGCATCCTTGCAAATCTACACTGCCACAGCCACCTGCCGAGCCCACCCTCGGTGCCCACATGTGGGCATTCTGTATCAGCTCACCAGCTTGCACTTCTCCCGGCAGATAAAACTCCCTTGAGCCATCTGGCAAACAGTTGGCAAGCACCTACTATGTGCTGGGCTCTTCATGACCCTCTCAGGTGTTCCCACAGAGCAACAGAACACAAGAGACGGACCCAGGGGATGATTCACAAATACGAGAGGTTTCAATTTGTCCTTAAAGGATGAGGAGCAGTTTGCCCTACAGGGGAGGGAAGGAGCTCTCTGGGAAGGAGCAGCAGTGAGAAGGTACCAAAACAGGAATCAGCCACCTGGGAAAGTGACAGGTGCTGGAGATGCAATCAGGGACTCACTGACAGTCTCCGGGGCAGGAGCTGCCTGTGAAGGGCCGACGTGTAGCAGGTGCCAGAGTGTGTCTAATGAGCGAGTGAAGAGAAGGCAAAGAGGGAGGATCTGGGGAGAGGAGAAGCCAATTGTAGTTTATTCATACAATGCAATCTATAGACCAAACTAAGGGAACAAACTGGAGCTATAAATACGATGAATCTCACAACAGAATGCGGAATGGGTAAAGCAATTCAGAGAAGGCTGTGTAAAGCCTCCTGATGCCAAACAGAAAGACATTTGGCTGCAACGCATGGCGTTGCCACTGTCTGACCATTCTGACACACGGAGGATCCATTTCATTTGGCCCAACCTACATCGAAATAGCAGTGGTCCATCCACATTGTATGATACTGTTCAGCAAACGAAAGGAACACGTTGGTGGCACCCACAACGGCTTGCCTGGATTTCAAGGGGATTATGCTGAGTGAAAAGGCCAAGCCCCCAGATTTACATATTGAGGCCATATGTATGTGATGGGTTTAGAAGTGGGCTTGAGTTGTAGCTCTGTGGTACAGAGCTCACCTCACGTGCCTGACACTCTGGGTTTTATCTCCAGCAGCACACACAACAAAAGGAAGATGAGGAATGAAATGATTGTGAATGCCAGGGGCAGGGAGAGAGGTGGGACTTGCTATCAAAGAATCATCCAGGGACTCTTGCAATGAAGTGTCCCAACCTTGATTCAGACATGACACCATCGTAGAAACCAGGCACACGCAGACATGCACACGTGAGTTCCTGTGAAGCCGATGGGATGTGGAGAGGTCTGATGGTGTCAGAATCAACCCCCTGGCTGTGACCTGGTGCTACAGGGATGCAGGAGGTCAACATGGGAATTGGAGGTGTACAGAGGCCTTCAAATTATTTCTTACTGGGTGTAAATTTACAGTTATCTCAAAATTAAAACAGGTACTTGAGGGCCAGGGATTTAGCTCAGTGGCTCCACACCTGCCTCACAAGTGCAAGGTCCTGAGTTTGATCCCCAATTCCAAAAAGTACAAAGGATCAGAAACTTGAAAGCAACAAGATAAGAGACTGAGGACAGAAGTATCAACCCCAGCCTAATAATGAAACACAATAGAAAAACAGATGGCCACGTGTTCAAAAACAAAAACATGTACATGGTAGTGATTAGTGCCAAATTTGAGATCGAGGTTGATTTTAGGTCAGAGGGTGAATTATGTAGATGAAAAGAGACATACAGGGGAGATTTGCCTTTATCTGATACATTTTCTTAAAAAAGAAAAATTGGAGCAAATATGGCATAAGATCAAGATTCTATTGAACAGAATGGGGGATACACAGTGATTGTCATTATCTCATTTATGCTTGAAATAATCATTTCTGAAAAGCTTATGTCACCTAGGATGTGCTGGCCTGGACACCTGGCCTGGCACCAGGTGAGGCCTGGGCTCACCGAGGTCGCCCCTGCTCGTGGTCCTCCAGGTGGTGACCCCATGGCCAGGTGGCAGCCAAGGCAGGGGCTTCTGTGGGCTGTCCCTGCTGGTGTGAGCCACTCCCACCTTTCCCCACAGCCCCCAGAGAAGGAGGGTGCCCTGCCCAGGCAGGTGGGCAACAAGACGGAGTGTGGCCTGCTGGGCTTTGTGCTGGACCTAAAGCAGGACTATGAGCCTGTGCGCAGCCAGATGCCAGAGGAGAAGCTGTACAAAGTGTATACTTTCAACTCCGTGCGCAAGTCCATGAGCACCGTCATCAAGATGCCCGATGAGAGCTTCCGCATGTACAGCAAGGGTGCTTCTGAGATCGTGCTCAAGAAGTAGGTTGCTGGAGGCGTGCCGAGCCCGGCAAGGGGGGCGTTGGCTGGCTGGGTCCCACGGTGCTAGCTGTCCCCCAGGCTGGGCTGGCAGTACCCCTGGGCCGGAAGGGCTCTCTAGTACCCTGGGGCACAGAGAGGTCCCTGTCTAGGGTCTCATGGTAAGACTCACCTGCAGCGCCCACCCACTGGTCTTCGCTAACCCTTCCTCCTCCATTTCCACCACCTCGGGCCACACTTAAGTCTCTCTTTCATCTCTCCCTTTAGCATACAGTTGGTTAATGGCATTTGTGTTCTTTATGAACCACGCTTCTCTAACTGCAAATGCTAGAAGCAAGCCGCGTCCCTCCCCCGGGCCTCTTGTCTCCCCACTTGCACATTGCAGGGCTTGGCCTAGACCAGTAGTTCTCAAGCCTGGCTGTGCACTGCAATCGCCAAGGGAATTTTGTAAAAACGTTGCTTTGGGCAGAGGGTGCAGCTCAGTGGTGGAACAGTCATCAAACACAGCCTGTGACTGCAGCGCCTGTCTACCCCAAGGCATGCGGGAGCTGAACTAGATGAGCACTGGCTGACCGTGGTGGCAGCTGGGCATCCTGGGGCAGGGACCCCATGGGCCCTCAGCTGGCCCTTATTTCTGTGCCTTCTTCCTGCCCCAGGTGCTGCAGAATATTGAGTGGGGCAGGTGAGCCCCGGGTCTTCCGGCCTCGAGACCGGGATGAGATGGTGAAGAAGGTGATTGAGCCCATGGCCTGTGATGGGCTTCGCACCATCTGCGTGGCCTATCGCGACTTCCCCGGCAACCCCGAGCCCGACTGGGACAATGAGAATGACATCCTCAGTGACCTCACGTGCATCTGTGTGGTGGGCATCGAGGACCCCGTGCGACCTGAGGTAGGGACGAGGCCAGGTCTGGGGCTGTTCACCTCCTTTCATGCATGCACACTCATTAAGACCAGCACCGCCCACATCTGGCTCGTGTGAGCACAGAGAGGTGGCCCGGCCAGCTGGTATTGCTCTGCCGTGAGGACAGTCCTGGAGCTGTCCACTCAGCCAGCAGGGACTCTGCTCTCTGGCCCCAGGTCATAGGTGTAGGGACCGCCCTGATGGAGAGGCTCCTCACCCCACAGGATCCAGGGGCTCTGATAACAAATCCTCGGGCCTAGATTCCAGGTCTCTGCAAACGACCTGCCCAGTCGCAAGGACCTCCATCCTCAGGAGATCCCAGATTACGGTGTCAGCATCAGTCCTTGCTCCCCTCTGCATCCACACGCAGGTATGTGATTGTGTCCCCCCGCCAGCTTTCCTGGTGGCACAGCTGGCGTTCTGTATCAGATGCGCAGGTGCAGAGTTTGCAGGTTAACGGAGGGTTACCTCTCACGGAAGGGACAACACTGGGGTGGGAGGTGGGGAAGACAAGTGCTCCACACAGAGTGGGCCTTCTGCTTCCTGTGGCTACACGTGTGTCCAGGGCCGGCTCGGTCAGGAGGATGTGGTGTGTGTGGTTCCAGAACTGCCTGGATAACCAAGTCTGAGGAGGAAACACCCGTGGTCTGGTGCCTCCAAAGTGCTGCTGTGGAGATAACCCAGAAGTAATTCAGCTGCCATCTGCACCTGCCTCCTAGCTGGGCCTGCCACATCTGCTGCCAGCCCCAAGAGGGGTCACTTTTAGTGCTCTCAACCTGAGCTAGCACCATTCTCTGGAGGCCCCTGGCCCTTCCCTATGCCCTCTCTCAAAAAGCCTGTTTCCCCTTTTAAAAGTAGGAGAGGGTAGCTGTGCATGGAGGTTCATACTATAATCCCAGCACTCAGGAGGCTGAGGCAGGAGGATCACTGTGAGTTTGAGGCCAATCTGAGCTTCATGAAACAACCTTATCTAAAAAGAAAGAAAGATGAGAGAAAGAGAGAGAGATTACTAAAGGGTAAGGGGAAATCACCAGAGACCCCTGCAGTGGTCCTGGTCTCCTGCAAGCCAGTACAATGTCTGAGAGATAGGAAAGTGGGAATTAAGAGCAGCACAGAGAGACTTGAGAGAAACTGAGTCTTGGGCTGATCTACACTGCTCTGGGCAGCAAAAACAAAGGATTCCAGGATATCCAGGGTTTATTCATTACAAGTGTGGGAAGGGGAAGCTGGGCAGGCCTTGGGACACTGCTGATAACAAGGTCCAAGCAGGCAGGACTGGAGAATGTGGGCACAAGCCCATCTTCGCTGAAGAGAACAAATGGTTAATTCAGAAGGAGAGAATTTAGTTGCAGTCAGTTAGCCTTGTCTGTGAGTGAGCTCAGCCACGCTCTGCTACTTCCAGTGTGGCACAGCCGAATTATGGAGGGGCAGGAAGCTTGTGCCACTACGGCCTGTTAAAACCGGACAGAGGCTCTCAAGAGCAAGGTCCTGAGTTCAATCCCTGGTACAAAAAACAAAAGCAAAAAACTGGAAAGAGGTGTCTGCAACAGAGAGAGAATGGGAGGGGAGGGAAAGAAGAGAAGAGAGGGGAGGGGGCGGGGAGGGGAGCAGAGCCGCCCTCCAAGCTCCGGGCCCTGCTGCTGTGGGACTCTGCATTCCAAAGAACAAGCACACTAAGAGGTCACAGACCTAGGAGGAAGGAGGCCTGCAAATGTCAGCTCAGACATCAGACAGACCTGGATTCTGGAGCCCCACACTTGCCAGTGTGTGACAATGGGCCAGTTATATAACCTCTCTGGGCTTGTCTTTAGACTGGGAACAGTCATAGTGCACGTATACACACATGCACACGCGCTAGGGTATGGTGTGGTGCCGGATCACACACATGAGCAGTCAACAGTGTGTCTGGCATGAGGTCATTTGCCCATAACCGAGGATCCTCTTGCTTCAGGCCCTGCCACGTCAGCTCATTGCTGCAGATCCACGTCTAGCAGCCACTAACACAGAGCCTGACCTTCAGAAATGCTTGTGTCTGTGGAATGAAAGAATGAGAGTGAATACACTTGAAGTCCAGTCTAACACTGTCTCGTTCTAATACACACACACACACACACACACACACACACACACACACACACACACACACACACACACAAAACACACACACACACACCATTCAGTGGGTCTCACTCAGCTCCTCACTCCTACCCAGATCTTCAGACAGCAAGCCTGGAGCCCATATGTATGTCCCTGAAGACACAGTTCTCTACAGACAGGCCACTAATCAGCCCCCTAAGAGACTGTGTGCCCTACCATCTGGTGTGCACTTGGCCCTGAGATGGCGAGTTGCCACCTTGTGGGAAGTTGCTGGGCCCAAGAGCTCCTGGCTCAGCGCCTTGCCTGGGAACGTCCCTGAGGTGGGGTAGAAAACATCAGTCGCAAGCATGTTTTGGCCATGACCCACAATAAGGTGAAACATACTTTATGTTGTGGCTCATTAACCCATAAGGGTTCCCAAAGTAATGTGATGCCAGGAATGCTTTTTATCTATTCTTTTTCCTTTGTTGTTTTGAATGTGGATATCATCCACTGAACTGAATTTCACAGTCACTCAAGGGGTCCCACTTGAGGTTAGAGCTGCTGGTCCCATCTCCGTGCCACCCCACAATCCCCAGTGTACAAGTGAGGCCATCAGGCCTGCGGAGTGGGTCTCCCTATAAGTGGCCAAGCAGAGCGAGGTTAGATCAGGCTTTCTGCCTCCCTGCCCCTGGGCCTTTGCCTGGGTGCCACATGAGATGGCACAAGGCATTTCAGAAGAGAGAGAGCCTCCATTTCCTGTGGACAGTGTGGTAGCAAGAGGTGACTACAGACAGACTTGGGGGGGCCCTGGTTGCAAGCTCCAATTCCAGCGCCAACAAGCCACTCCTCTTCTCAGCACCTCAGTCTTCTCATCTGCAAATCAGGCCCCTCAGTTCCCTTCCAGGCTCTGACTTTCTCAGACAGGGAGGCAGCCGACAGACAAAGCCATCCCCACCCCAGCATCTAGGGAGAGAAGTCATAAACTACATTAGAATGACCAGCAGAGAGTCACAGTAAAGTCAGGACCTGGGTTCTAACACTGCCTTTCCACTCCCTCGTGTTGGCCTTGGGTACAGGTCTTCCCCCAAGCCTCGGTTTCTCCCTCTGATAAATAAAAGAGGTGGGTCCCTTGATGTTCATGGTTACAGGGCATAGCTGATTGGAAGGCGGTAGGCAAGTTCAGATGGACACGGCACTAAGACCTGAAAACATCTGTCTGCTTCAGGGTTGGTAACTCGAGTGTGCAGGGCCACATTCAAAAGGCTTAGAAGCACAGTGCAGAGCACCCTGCTGTCTCTGCGCCCATGCCCACCTCAGTGGCAGCTGCTGTCTCCTGTGTCCCGGATGACTGTCCCTCCAGGGCTGTCCATGCCTATGGTAGTAGTGGTGAGCTTCGGCGGTTTTGGTTCTGCAGAACCAGGATTAACCCTAAGGGTGTCCTACCCCTGAGCTGCATCTCAGCCCTTTCTAGTTTTTTACTGTGAGACAGGCTCCAAACTGCCCAGGCTGGCTTCAAACTTGTGATCCCTGACTCAGCCTCCAGCAGAAAGGGAACTTCAGGACCGCTGTCGGTCACGCTTCCCACTCTCCCAGATCCTTTCCCCGGGCCTCTTCCCTGCCCACAGCACTATCCATCCCCAGCCTTGGATGCTGGGCAGCTCTGCACAGAGACTCCCTCGAGTGTGTCCAGCCTGGCATGACCCCCACTTGGAGCACCTGCAAGGCCCTCGGACAAGCTCACATTCCATCCACAGCAGCAGGAAAATGGTCTCAGCCTCCCTGGGTCCCCCACAGTCCAGGGGCAGAGCCAGACAGCCAGCACACAGCCTGAAGGAGCAGCTGCTGGGCTGGGCCAGGGTTATCATCAAGAGTGTGTGGAGGCCTTGGAGTCAAGCCGAGGGCTGTCCTCAGAAACAACAGATGCTCAAAAGCCTTTGCTTAATGAAAACAGGAAGCACACATTTCCTGGCTGTTTTTCCTTAGTGAGAAATATCTAGGATAATTTCAGTGAAAGAAGCCATTTTTCAAAAAATGTAACAGTGATTTTCTTATATAGAAAGTGTACTTCCAGCGTGCTGATGCCTCTGGGGCTTGAGTCGTAATCATCTCTGGGTCTTCTGTTCCCTGAACAGTTGAATGCTCTGTAGATGTTTGTTGGATGAGTGAATGTGTGAGCGATAAGGGACAGAACCCACCCCACTGGAGTGGAGGCTGCACAGGAAGCATTCCCCACAGAAGACCGGCAGGTGTAATTCACAGAGGTGGAAGGAAGGGACCAATGGGACAAAGGGAGGAGATAAAGAGTCTGCTTTCCATTACCTTAACTAGATGCCTGAGACAAGAGTTTATAAAGGACATAACTGCTTTATCTTGTCCATGGTCAGCTGGCCTATGGCTTCAGGGCCCTGGCAAGAGTGTTAAAGAGCAGAGCAGTTCATAGGCGGCTGGCAAGGAAGGAGAGACCTGGAAGAGGCCAGCCCTCACCACCAGGCCCTGCCCCTATGTCCCACCTCCCAAAGGCTCCACCCCTCCCAGCACCACAGCCCTCTGGGGACCAAGCTTCTCATGCAGAGGCCTTTGGGACTTTGTTGACCCTGGACGCAGATGTCCAAGCTCTGGAGACCTGTGACAATCCTGTTGCACTTGTGAGAGAAAAGGCTACACAGGACGCTCAAAGCCCAATCAGGAGGGACTGGCAGGTCCGCATGATAGGCATGGTGCCGGTGGCTCCATGACCCCTACGGTGTAGACACGGTGAGCAGATTCCAGTTCAGCCCTTCATGTTCAGCCCTCTGACCCCATAGCTGATCTGTACATCAGCCTGGCCTCTCACATTGCTGCCTGTTGGGAGAAGCCTGGAGGTGACCAGTTGTTAATCCAAGAAACAGTCCCAAAAGCAAGTCTCCCCACATCAACCCCAGCAGGACCACCTTCTGACCACAGGCCCCAGCCCACACTCTCCTTAGCCCAGCCCTCAGGTCACCTGAAGCATGGCCCCCAGGCCCTTCACATCTGGGGCCTCCTGTTCCTATATACCTCATGAGTGGGTCTACAGCCAGGACAGCCACTCTGTGCTCATCTGTGTGGCCCCCTCCCTGGCAGAGCCTCTGTTGCTTTTTCTTTTTCTTTTTATTGAGTTTATTGGTACATTCTAGGTATACAGTACAGTTACATTCATTATTGGGATCTTGTACCTTTACATGACAGGTCTTGGTTCTCATTTTTTCCCCTTGTCCCTGACCTCCCTTCACCCCCCATCCACGTTTATAAACTCTTTATTTCCATTTTTTCATTTTCTCACATTTTTTCTTTTCCCTTATTCCCTTTCCCCTACCCTTCCCTCTTTCCCTACACCTTTAGCCCTTTTCTCCCTATTTCACGTTGTTAATTATCCCATTAGGATCTTGTGTACTATTATAGTTTTTCACACCAGAGAAACTATTTGGTATTTACACATGTGTGACTTATTTATTTCACTTAGGAGTATATCCTCAAAATGTATTCATTTTCCTATGAGTGACTCTAATTTATCATTCTTTATGGCTGAGTAGTACTCCATTTTATAGAAAAACCACATCTGCTTTATCCAGTTTCCAACTGATGAGCAAATGGGCTGTTTCCAAGTTTTAGCTATTACAAACTGTGCTGCTATTAAACATAGGTGTGCATGTGTCACTGTAATATGATTCTTTTAATTCTTTTGGAAAGATACCCAGCAGAGCTATGGCTGGGTCAAATGGAACCTCTAGTGCCAGCTCTTTGAGGTATCTCCATATTGATTTCCACAGTGGTTGCACCACTTTGCACTCCCACCAACAATGGAGAAGGGTTCCTTTCTCCCCACAACCCCACCAACATTTGTTATTGTGTGATTTCTTGATAGCAGCCATTCTTTGTGGGGTAACGGAGAATTTCAGTGTTGTTTTCCTCTGCATCTCTCGAAAGACCAGTGATGTGGAACATTTTTTCATATATTTACTTGCTGCTTTTACTTCTTTGTCTGAGAAATGTCTGTTCATTTCAGATTCCCATTTTTGAATCGGGTCTTTGTATTTGGGGGAGCTGATTGTTTTGAGTTCTTTATATATTCTAGATAATAGTCCTTTGTCTGAGGAGCAGCTGGTAAAATTTTTTTCCTACATTGTAGGTTGTCTCTTAGTTCTGTTGATGGTTTCTTTTGTAGTGCAGAAGCTTTTTAATAAGATGAGATCCCAGTTGTAGATTCTTTCTGCTAGTTCCCGTGCTACTGAGAATTTGTTCATAAAGTCTTTTCCTATGCAAATGTCTTCCAGAGTGCTGCCCCTCTGTTGCTTTTGATGGAGCAGAACTGGCATAGACATTCCCTCCTCCAGGAAGCACTCGCTGATTTCTCCTCCCCACTTACTTCTTTATCAACTAACAGTGTGTTCCTCTGTGCTCCTAGAGCACTTTATCTAGGCTTGCACCAAAGACCCAAGGCACAAGTGTGTGGGTCTGACACAGGAAACACTGTGCTATCTGAAAATAGAAAAGTTATGAAAGAATAAGCTAGACCTGGTGTACCGTGGAGCAGCCAACTTTGGAGGGATGAACACCCATCATTGGAGACATACAGGCAGACTGGCTGGCCATCTTTTGGGGATACCCAGGAACAGAGGTGGGCAATGACAGACCATTAGAGCCAAATGATCCAGTCCGTTCCAACACCAAGGCCTTAAGTAAGTTTGAAACATAACCTAAAATCCTCTTTGGGACCAGAGCCAGATGAGGTGTTTCTGGAAGAGCTCTGTCCTATCTTCGGCACCTGAGATCAGAAGAGTGTGAAGGGTATGAATGGGACATTGGCCGTCCATACCCCTTCTCCCACCCTCTCTGTGGGCTTCTTTGAGCTGCTGCTGGGATGCGAGGCTGAGGCCTTGCTTATATGCCCCCCCATACCTGAGCAGATACAGGAGGCTATTCCCAGGCCCTGGAAATAGCCCCAGGGGAGCATGTGGCCTCCTGGCCCTGCTCCAGCCCTTCAGTATGGGGAGGTCACTACCTTCTGCATGGGGCTGTTCCTTAGACTGTTCAGGTACCTGAGAGGCCTCTGTCCCCAGATCCAGGAGCTATCCTAGGGTGTGTGTCCCTCCGCCAAAAGATGGCCATGCACAGAGGCCTGGATTTTCTCTCCAGTATCAAGTTGGAATCCCTGAAGCAGATAACGACCATAGGCCAATGCCTAGGCAGTCACTGGTGGGCAGGATTTGGGAAAGACAGAAGAGGGTCAGGCCAGACAAAAAGAGACCAAGGGGCGGGGAAGCATTCCCAGCTGGAGATGCTGGTGGGACCAAAGGAGTGGCCAGTGGTATGGTGGCATGGAAATAAGCGAGATATTCTCAAGGCCCATCTTTGTTCTTGCCCTTCCTGAGGAAGGACTGGCATGTCCCTGTGATAGGAGTGGTGCTGGTGGCTCCTTGGCTCAGAGCCTCCTCACACCCTTGCTGACAGTGGGTGGCATGGCGCCCACATTATGGATAGGGTGAACAGATGTCAGCTCAGCCCTTGAAAGGGGCAGGGGGCAGGAGGTGTCCATAGTCATGTTTGATGCCAGGGCTATGATTCTGTGTTAGTTTTTTAGGGCTGCTGTATTACAGTCCAGGCAGTCCCCAACTTATGGTACAGGGTAAGTACAGTGGTTTAAAATTGATATGCATTCCGTGAAAGCTATACTTCAAATTTTGAATTTGGAACTGGACATGGTGTAGCCCATGCATGTAAACTCAGCACTCTGGAAGGCTGAGGCAGGAGGATTACAAATTTGAGCCCAGTCCAGGCAATTTAGCAACTTAGCAAGACCCTGTCTCAAAATTTTTTTAAAAAATTAAAAAGGGCTGAGAATGCAGCTCTGTGAAGACCCTGGGTTAAATCTCCAGCACCACACCAAAAAACATTTTTTTTTTTTAGTTTAGATCTTTTCCTGAGATAGCAGTACACAGCACCACACTCTGGAGATGCGGTGGGGTGGGGGTGGGGGGGGTGTCGAGAGCCATATCCATCCCAACAGGGAGCAAGTGAGCCTCTGCTGAGCCCTGCTGGGCTAGTGCAGGGCAGCAGTGGGTTAGACATGCATGGCGCATTTTTAGAATTCATGATGCTTTCAGCTTCTGACAGGTGTGCCTGAGCCAACAGGGACTCTTACCACAGCTGAAGGGCTCAGATGCCCTACACCTGCTTGCCTTCGGGAAGCTGAAGGCCATCTGATTCCAGCAGCAGGAGGCTGGCTGCTTCAGAGGCCAGTGAGAGAGGTCGCTCAGGGCCTCTTTTCTGGAGATCTGTGTCCCAGAAGTATACACCTGATCTCTGTCTCATCTCCCCATGAGGTCCCCATGTCACTCTGGATAAGGGCTCACCCTGGTGGCCTCAGCTGAACTTGATCACTGCCAAAAAGACCCTCTCCCGGGGGAAGGCCCTCTTCACAGCTGTGGGCTCTGGACCAGGATGTATGTTTGAGGGAGTTCAGCCAGTCTGTGGCAGGCTTCGCGTTCTCTCAGCAGTGGAGCAGCCCAGTAAGCAGAGGAGTGAGAAACCCATCCCTGTGCTATGCAAGAGGAGGGGGAGTTGGGTTGGGCCCTCCAGCTTGAAAGTCTAACTGCTTTTGTCTTTCTGTATGACTGAATTTTCTGCCCTTGCCATATTCTCTGCTACTCAAAGATGCTTTGCAGCAAATACAGCCTTATTATTTTATTATTTGTCACTGCCCATGGGTACAAATCACTTTTTTGATTGATCTTTGTTCCCCATAGAGGGCTGCAGCAGCTCCAGGCCAGTTTCCATATCCCGATTGCTGAGTGAATCCCATGCTTTGTGGAGGAGGGGTAGTAGGTGTTGCCACCTTCTGATTGGCAGAGCTGGGTCTGATCTGACCTCATTGGCCTAGACATAAGTCTGTCACTGCAGTCGTGAGAGCAGGATGCAGCCCTTGCTTGTCCTTGAAGCATCGTAGTTGACACAAAGCACAGTCATGTAATTATTCTAAGCCAATATCACAGTCTGTAAATAAAATGTCCCCAAATGCAAATGTCCCCCCCAAATTTGAAAATACACAGGCGTATTACAGAGTTTGTAAATGAAACCGGTGCAACTTCAAATGTAGTTATCAAGTACTAGACAGTCTTGCCCAGGACCAGGTCTAAAGGGAATGCTTCTGTGGATCTTTCCAAAGTCTCTGCCAGATCACGGTAGCCAATGGCTTTGTCTCAGGATAGACTATCATGGTCAGAAGGTGCCAGCTGCCTAGAACTCTGAGGCCCCACCAGGTCTAATCAGGGTGCTGCAATAGATTAACTATGCCTCCCCTGGGCACAGGAGAGGAGGCAGGGACTTGGTGCCATGTGTGGTTACCTAGTCCCCTTTCTTGGAGCTGCCTGAGAGAGGTACCCACTGGGGTTCCATGAAAGAGAGGAAGGCCTACCCGAGGTGGTGCCCTCCGCCATGACTCCCATCCTCCTGTCCAGGTCCCTGAAGCCATCCGCAAGTGCCAGCGGGCAGGCATTACGGTCCGCATGGTCACTGGTGACAATATCAACACGGCCCGAGCCATCGCCATCAAGTGTGGTATCATCCATCCTGGGGAGGACTTCCTGTGCCTGGAGGGCAAAGAGTTCAACCGGAGGATCCGCAACGAGAAGGGGGAGGTGTGTGGCCCGGGGTGAAGGGTGCCCAGAGGGGAGGCACTGCATGGTTATACAGAAGCCGCCCTGTGTGCCACTGACAGCCTACCATCCCTGAGCCTCAATCAGTGTCTCTCTCCAACCTCCCGACCCATCGTCTACCCCATCCCTCTCCAGATTGAGCAGGAGCGAATTGACAAGATCTGGCCAAAGCTGCGAGTGCTGGCTCGCTCTTCCCCCACGGACAAGCACACCCTGGTCAAAGGTAAGTGGGGCAGAGCTGAGGCCTATACAAGCCGGGAACCACTCTGGCTTCCTGGCATTCCCCTCGTCTGAGAGTGTGCATCCATCATCCACACTCAGCCCTGGGCTTCTTCTGTGCCTCCAACTCCTCCAGGAAGCTGTGGGACCCATCTGGCTCGAGGCCCAAGGGCCCCCACTGTGGGACCTCTTTATGCTGATTTCTTAATTTTAATGCAGTCCGTAGTGACCATGCCCGTGGTGAGGAGCTGATTCGTGTATGTAACACAACTCAGTTCCTCTTCCATGCCCTTCCCCTCCCGCCATCTCTTGGCTCCCTCTGCTGACTTTGAGTGAATTTGTACAGACCTTGCTCTCTGCTGTCTGGCAGCACCCACCCACCCCGCCGCTGCTGACACCCAGCTTGCTCACTTGTTCTCATCTGGTCCCAGAGCTCAGTTTGAGACCCCTGGTCAGCTTCACCTGTGAGGACCTGGTCGGCGTCTGTGACCATGACTGGGGATGGGGCCACCTGGGAACAGCAGCCTGAGCCAGACTCTCCTTTGTGCTTCCTCCAGAGAGGGACGAACACTGATTGCTAAGCCTGGATGGCCAGCTGGGGGCCCCTTCCAGTGTCACACAGCCCTGTCAGGCGGACGTTTGTCGCTGTGACAAAATAGCTGACAAAGTCAGTTTAAAGGATGAAAAGTTTATTTTGGGCTCATGGCTTCAGAGGTTTTGGTCCAGGGTCACCTGGCAGCATTGCTTCTGGGCCATGGCCACACAGAACATTGGAGCAGGGATATGGGGTACCACAGGAGCTCATCTCATGAAGGCCAGGAGGCAAAGAGAGATGGAAGAACCCAGAGAAGGGGCTGAGGACCAGAGATTGTTCCCAAGGCCACATCAGCAAGGCCCAGCACTCCTGGTCTCACCCCCTCCCAGTGATGCCATCCTGGTGTGCCTTCTCAGTGAATCAGGCGTCCAGCCACCTCTCAACCCGTCAGCAGCAAGCTGTCAACACAGTGAACCTTTGGGGGAGCATATCATATCCACACCATACTCCTGGTTCACAGCTCTGCTTTGCCACTGACCTGCTCTGTGGTCTTGGCAAGTCCCTCCACTCTGAGACTCAATTTCCCCATTTTTCTACCTAAAATTTTCCCTAGATGGCTTGAATTTCTGTCTTAAGGGTGTTGCCCGAGGACATTAATGGAGGCAAATCTGGCCTGAGGTTAGAAATACAGAATTAGAGCCACAGACACTGGAGCAGAGGGTCCCCACCCCATTCTTATCTCTTATCCACTCATCAGTTCACTCACTCTCCAAGTAGCTGTTTCTGGAGGTCCTACATGTGCCAGCCTCTGCCCTAGCCAGGCATAGCCTCTCCCTCTAAAATCCATAGTGCAGTTTCCATGCAGCAGATGTGAATGGGGCACTCATGTCCCTGCAGAGTGAAAGGCTGAGTGGGCAAAAAGTGTGCTGGGTCCTCGCCAGCTTCTGACTCCAGCCGGGAAGGTGTCAGGCCCAGGTCCCCAAGGGAGGCTGGGGCTCGTGCAGGGAAGGCACTGCCGAGCTCAGAGTGGCTGGGCCCTCCCACGACCGAGAGAGGAGCCAGCTGACCTGCACTGTTACCCCAGAGCCAGGGTACGGGAAAACAGGAGGGGAAGAGCCCTGTCTAGAAAGCTAATCCTGCTTGGTGGGGAGGGACCAACAAGATTGTCGAGTGTGACCATTGCTGCCTGGACTGAGTGGTGGCAGGGCCAGCAGTCTGCAGTCCGCAGGGCTGAGCGACATTTCCGGGTGGAGAACTTCCACTATCAGGAGGGACACAGGGAAGAGGGTCTTTGGTGTCTGAGAGCCTGCATGACAGTCTGCCCCATGGCTTTCAGGTGGACATTTGGGTGTTGCCAAGGAGGGACAGGTCTGAGGAGAAGGGATACACTTGGGATAGCAGTTGAGCTCCCACCTGAGTAGCAGTGGAGGCTGAGATCCTGTCCAAGGGAACCCAAGAGGGATGGCTGAGGAGCAGGGAACAGCAGGGGTGAGGGGTGCAGGAAGGACACCTGTGTGCACAGGCCGAACAGTCAGAGGACAGGATATGGAGGTGGCTGTAGGGAAGCTCCTGGTGGCCATGCAGGGCTGAAGGCAAGGAGAGGGTCAGGTTGGCAGGGGGCTTCCTCTCAGCTCTCTGCTCTACTGGGAATGGTTGGAGGCTGTGAGAAGTCTGCGCTGGCCTGGTAGCCACAGAGAAAACTCCACCTCTCTCACCTGAGGAGCCAGTGCCTCTCAGAGGACCAGCGAGGACAAAGGTTCTACAGGCCACGCAGATGGGACTGGGGACTGGCCACCGGCTGGATCAGGGCAGCCCAGGGTCACTCCCGAGGCACCAGGTGTGGGGCAGGACCTGGTATAGGGGCGCTTTAAAGGGAATGGGGCCATAGGGCAAGGGGCTCCTTACCTCCTCTACGGCCTGCCTGACATAGGCAGGGAGACACCCACACGGGTGGGCGTAGGTCACCATGGCAGCAAAAGGCTGAAGCTACAGATGGGGAGATGGCGTGGACAGGGCAGCCTCGTGCAACTGAAGAGGTCAGCATGACGGCCTGGTGGGGGGCGCTTGGTATGCGCATGTCTCCCAGAGCCAGGAGGGACAGAGAAAGCGACTTGGGGGGCCAGGGCCAGGCCAGAGTGTTAGAGGCAGACCCTGGGGCCGCTGTGGGAAGCAGGCGCGGAAGGGGCAGAGATCTGGACAGAGGGCAAGGCAGGATTCCTGTGGGGTTCTGGAGCCACGAAATGCAGGCCTTTGTGAACACTGACTTGTAAAGGGCAGGAATAGGTCAGGGTTGATACCCAAACTTCAGTCCTGTCTAGAGACATCCCTGCCTGGGAAGCCGCTGCCTGGGGAGTCCCTTGAGATGATGCCTGTCATCTACCTGGTCCCTGGCCCAGCTAGGAGCTTGGACCACGTGTCACCTGCTCACACTGGTTTCTGTGGAGTATTTTATTGAGGATGAATGTCTGCAGAGAGGTCAAGGCATAGAGCCACAAGGCTGAGGTCACCAGGGGATGGCACAGCCAAGGAAGAGCAGACTGGACCTGGCAAATGCTGGGAGACCCCAGAGAGGCTGAGGGCCCCTGAGACAGGCCGAGGAGATGGGGGAACAGTGTTTCTGATTGCAGCGGCCACCAGTGTGGCTGAGGGCTGTCAAGAACAAGGTGGGCAGGGTCCAACATAGGTGCCCAGCATGCCCTAAGGAAGAGCCATGACAGTAGGGGCTGCCTGGACAGGGGTCTGGCTGAGCTGCTGGCCAGGGCTGGCCCAGGCTACCCCACTCCTTGGCCTGGGAGCCCTGAGCACATTCGCCCTTGACAGGCATCATCGACAGCACACACACGGAGCAGCGGCAGGTGGTGGCCGTGACTGGGGACGGGACCAACGATGGACCTGCACTTAAGAAGGCTGATGTGGGCTTCGCCATGGTAGGAGCATCTCAGGGGGCCTGGGTGGCATCTGGGAGCAGCTCATAGATAAAGGCTGAGGGGGCCTGCAGCACCCCCAGTTCACACTCACTCCACCCACCATCCACTTTGTGTGTGTGTGTGTGAGGCACTCAGATTGCACTCTGGCCCAGGGAGGTGATTCCTGGAAGAGTGCAGGGCGCCCTGCTCAGGACAGGTTTGTGCTGACAGGCATGGGCGGGCCAAAGAGAGCAGGGAGAGGGGCTGGGCAGGGATCTGGCCTCCGGCCCTGAGGCTGTTCATGTGTGCTCCTGTGTGTGACCTGGCTGTGCTGGGGTGGGGGTGGAGCCGGGAACGTGTAAAGATGAGGACAGCTGTTTAGAACTACTCACTGCCCCCCAGCCACCCCCAGGCTCCTGTCCCTGTCCCCACAGGGCATTGCAGGCACTGATGTGGCCAAAGAGGCCTCAGACATCATCCTCACAGACGACAACTTCAGCAGCATTGTGAAGGCCGTGATGTGGGGCCGCAACGTCTACGACAGCATCTCCAAGTTCCTGCAGTTCCAGCTGACGGTCAACGTGGTGGCTGTGATTGTGGCCTTCACAGGTGCCTGCATCACACAGGTGGGTCCTGGGAGGCAAAGCCAAGGCTGGGGAGGGTGAACCCTGGACCCCTGGGACAAAGCGCCTGCCAGGGCCAGCAGCTGCATCACAGACCTCAGCATAGGTGCCAGCCCGGCCGAGGCCTTGCGCCCCTGTCTGCCTGACCCCAACTCCAGCCCAGCCGCTGCCAGGAGGTGGGAAAAGTAGGGTCAGGGGAGACTGAATGGCCAACTGAGGACAGGGAGCAAGCAGTGGCCTGGGGGCCTTGGTTCTCGGGTGTGCAGGAGAGGCCTGGTGGGGACGCTAGTGCAGCAGGGCTCTGCCTGTCCAGATCACCAGCTCTGCTATGGGCCTGGGTAGAGCCTATGCACAGCAGGATCTGGATTCCTACGGCCCTGCTGCTGCTTTACTGCAGCCCCTGAGGCGAAACTGAGATGAGGCCCATTTTACAGAGGCTCAGACAAAGTGGTCTGGCCCTGGCCATTGGTCCTCAAGCCCCCTGGTACAGCAGCCATGGCTGCCCCCAGGAGCTAACCACCTGGAGAGAGAGCACCTGAGGGAGAGTGGGATCCCTCAGCCCTGGGGGGTGCCAGAGACCTGACCCTGACAACAGCCATGTGGACAGACAACTGGCACTCAGAGGAGCCCCCAATCTTGGTCCTGAGAGCTTGGGTCCTTGGGAACACTTCCCTCTTGCATTCTGAACTGTGGGGGTGTTCCTGACCATTCCCGGTGCCCAGTCCCAAGGGTGGGATGTGAGAGGAAGTAGTTGGGACCCCTTTCGGTGCCGAGGGCTCTCTCCCCCAGCTATGACTGAGAGGCTCCCTCTAGTGGCAAATTGAGGACACTGCCATGGTGGTGGCAACTCGCACAAGGCTTCTGGGGAGGCAGCTGAGGGGACACAGCTGAGGGGAGCATCATTTCACCTGAGGTGTCTGACTGGGTGGCCCTGAAGACCCAGGAGGAAGGATGTGACTCGACCCTCGGGCACAGGCAGTAGAGCTGGCTGTAAGACAGGAGAAAGCCCCCGAGGTGCAGCCTTCCAGTCCGGCCCAGGTGGGGGACAGCAGGAAGAGGGGCTGTGATAGCTACTCAGGAGGTGAGGCCACAGGGCAGGCACTGGGTCTGCAGACTGTTGAGTACACAAGGCCCCCAGATGAGTGACGCTAATGCCACAAGGAGAGGTCTGGGCTGGGGAGGAGCCATGGAAGGGAGATGTGGGTCTCAGGAGAGGAATAAGAGTGACAACAAGAACCAGGAGAGTGGCGTTGGGGTTGGTGTTATCCTGTCTCCTCACCATTCCCAAACAAACACAGAAAAGAGAAGACAAGCGTTATTTAAAGCCATCTCCAAGGAGATGGAGGGGCCTCATGCTGTCACCAGTCACCACCTCCCCATGTCTGGGTGCACAGGGTCTTTTACAGTAGGGAAGAGATGGGAGAGGAGCACAAGGAGACAACAGGCAGCTCCACATTTGCTTACCCTTCAACCCTTCTCTGCTCCTTCTTTTTCCTGTGGAAGCTGGACTTGGGCCTCCCACAGATCTGTCCATTCATCTGGGCTGAGAGGAGAGAAGTCTGGAGAAGCCATTTATGTCTAAAAAAAAAAAAACCAAAAAACCAAACTCTAACTTGGTCTCTGTCTGCCCTGCTGGTTACAGTTACTATTTTTGGAACACTGATGCACCTAGACACTTTTTCAAGTAACAGACTAGTAAGAGATGGAGGAGAGACTGAGGCAGGGCCGTGGGTATTTCTGTGGGTCAGGAGAGACGAGAAGGCAGGGCCTGTGCTGGAGCCTTGAGTCAGGCTGTGGCTCTGCCAAGAGAGACCCACCCACGTGGGGGGGCTTTGGGGAACAGGGGAAGCAGCAGGGCTGCAGCTAGGGTTACGGGGCACTGATGGCCTACGACCCGTGATGTCCCTCCCTGCCCGCCGCCCCTAGGACTCCCCTCTGAAGGCTGTGCAGATGCTCTGGGTTAACCTCATTATGGACACCTTCGCCTCCCTGGCGCTGGCCACCGAGCCACCCACCGAGACTCTGCTGCTGCGGAAGCCTTACGGCCGCAACAAGCCCCTAATCTCTCGCACCATGATGAAAAACATCCTGGGCCACGCCGTCTACCAGCTCACCCTCATCTTCACGCTGCTCTTCGTCGGTGAGCCCCGCCCCACCTGCGTCCTTGTGGCATGGCTGCTTCCTCCCAGGCACACTGTGGCCCAGCCGGGAGACTCACACCTACCTAGTGGGAGATGAGGGAGGGGAGTTAGCAGTTCGGGGTCACACTAGGAGCCTGAATGGAGCCAGGCCCTGTCTCGGGCCAGCAAACCTCAAAGCCAGGGCTTTTTCACCAGCGACGGTCCCCAGTGCTGAAGGCACACCATGAAGGCAGATCCATGCTGACCACCGTGCCCACGTCAGTCCGGGGAGCCCAGGCTGTAGCAGTAATGGCTGCCCTTCTCCTTCTGGGATGCCCTTGTCACCCCCAGGGAGCAGTCCTGTCCCATCACTGCTTCCTTTGAGGCTGGGTATTCGCGCCTTTCAGCCACGCTTCCCTCGCAGTAACAAATATCGGAGAGAATTAACTTGCAGAGAAGATTTATTTTAGCTCACCTCTTAGAGGTTTGACCCACGCTGCTTTCCCTGGCAGAAGCACTTGCCTCAGGGCTGGAAGTAAAGTGAAGAGTCCAATGTCACAGTCCCCTTCAAGGGCTCCTCCCCTGATGGCCTATGAATGGCCATCTGGCCTCCCTCTTAAAGGCTCCTCCACCTCCCAACAGCTCCACAGGCTGGGGACCAAGCCTATAACAGGGACCTTCAGGAACAATTTTGCAAACCATAGGAGCCTCTCCTGGTGTTCCTGTCTTCCTAGTCCAGGTGTGTTTGCTAATCTGGGGTCACTTTTTTACCCCCTCACAGTACTAGGGATTGAATCCAGGAAGCGCCGAGTTACATCCCCAGTCCTTTTTATTTTTATTTTTTTTATTTTGAGACAGGGTCTCGCTAAGCTGCTGGCTGGCCTCAAACTTGCAACCCTCCTGCCTCAGCCTCCAGAGTAGCTGGCATGTGCCACCATGCACCGGCAAATCTCTATAAACAGTGTCACCTGATAATACACCTGGCATTCAGCCTTTCTCAGATCCCCACAGAAAAGGTGGAAGACAGTCCCCCCAAGGTCTCTGCCACCTAGAGAAGGGTTTGTCAACCCTGCACTACTCACTGGCTGTGCCCTGCCCCAGAATCCACACTGGCCTTCAAGTTGGTGTGACTCACCAGCCGGCCCGCCACACCCTCAGCCCAGCCCCGCCCTCTGGCTTGGCAGGCGAGAAGATGTTCCAGATCGACAGCGGGAGGAACACGCCATTACACTCACCACCCTCCGAGCACTACACCATCATTTTCAACACCTTCGTCATGATGCAGCTCTTCAACGAGATCAATGCCCGCAAGATCCACGGCGAGCGCAACGTCTTCGATGGCATTTTCCGGAACCCCATCTTCTGCACCATCGTGCTGGGCACTTTTGCCATTCAGGTAGCCAGAACTCCCTGACCTGGGCAGGGCTAGTCTGAGCAATGGCAGGGCAGCCCCTGACCGCCTGTCCCTGTCTCTCTGTCTCTGGCCCACGACCTCCAGATAGTGATTGTGCAGTTTGGAGGGAAACCATTCAGCTGCTCCCCGTTGCAGCTGGACCAGTGGATGTGGTGCATATTCATCGGGTTAGGAGAGCTGGTCTGGGGCCAGGTAAGCTCCGGAAGGGCGCTGGGGGCACTTCTGGGCAGGGAAGGGAAAGAGCCATGGCTGGGGCCCAAGAGCTCAGCAGCCCACTTCCCCTGGGACACCCATGACCTCCCATCTTCGGGCATCCGCACCAAGTTCACCTGTGTCCCACCATTTGGGTTTGTCCTTTGCATCTGTGTGCCACTCATTGCTCCTGTTATTTACTCTTTTTTTTTTTGCATCCACTTAAATTTATCTCAAAAGGCAAGATTATATTGTATAACTGCAAAATCAGTCACTTGCTATAAAGAGAAGCTAACAAAAGAATTAATGTAAGGACCATGATGTTATTAAATGCTCACTGGATGCTAACACCATCCAAGCCTCAGAGCCTGAAACTAGCTTGTTAGAAAGGGCGATGAGTTGGTGGTGCCCTGTGCTGACAGCCTTCAGGGGACACGGAGTCTACACGGTTCAGGCTGCCCTGCTGCTGTGTGGTGCCATGGCCATCTGAGGTGCTCTCTAGTGGCACCTCTAGCTCTAACATATCCCACCAGATCCCTTTCCTGCTCTGTTACACGCGTGCATGTGTCTCGTGTGCATGCACAGACATCGACGCACACACACTGTCATCCTGGCTCTGACTCCTGACCAGGACTCAGTGCCTGGAAGCAGTGTCTGGAGCTGACCCTGAGCCTGAGGGGCCTGGTCTCCAAAGTGCTCTAGCATCCAGGCAGTGGAGCCACGGGGACCTGAGATGCTGTTCTCAACCTCAGGCCGTCTCCAGGCTAGATTAAGAAGCTGCAGTGGCAAGATCAACTGGATGAAGAGGAAGGTTGAGTTTCATCCAAAAATATCTTATTTGAGCTTTGGAGCTTCCTTGGAGTGTCGATAACTCACATGAATCCCGTTCTCTGGAAACCCCCAGAGCCAAGCCGCCATCAGAACCCTGGGGCCATTCCCTGGAGAGAGCTTTCAGGGTGATGCCAGCATGCAAAGGCCCCTAAAGGCTGAGTGTTTGGTCCTGTGTCTGTCCTGCCTCAGTTTCCCTCTTAGATGTGCCTCTTGGGCCTCAGCACCATGGACAAGCCCACTGAGGAAGGAGACGAATGAAGGCATTCCCACATTGCCTTTCCCTTTCACGGTGGGCTACCCCATATTTCTTTCCTATAGTTTGGGGCCTCTGAAGGGGACTGAAGGGGATTTGAGGGCCAGCCACAGGACAGCTGTCTGTGGCAACTTGGACACAGCCTGTGGCTCTATCTTCACAACATCCAGAGCTTTCACCCATCTTTACAGAAGAAAAAGGCCAAAGCACAGAGAGGCCAAATGATTTGCCAAAGTCACACAACAAGTATGGCCTAGGGTATTTAAAGTCACATCTGTGCAAGTCTCAAAGGCCCAGGTGTTCTATCCCATTCCCCTGACTCTGGATAAATGAGTGAATTAAGAAACAAATTAATTGTCAGGTGCAGTGGTACACACCTGTAATCCTAGCACTCTGGGAGGCTGAGACAGGAAGATTGCAAGTTTGGGCCCAGCCTGAGCAACTTAGCAAAATCCAGTATCAAAGTTTTAAAAAGTAAATAAAAAGGCCAGGAATGCAGCTCTGTGTGAAGGTCCTGGGTTCAGTTCCCAGCATAGAAAAAAAAAAAGACAAGTTGGTAAGAACCAGTAAATGCTTGAGTTGAGGATGAGCTGACCTGTGACTGGGTGAGTGGTGAGGGAAGAAAGGAGAGGAAGAGGGGTCAGAGAGGAAAGAAGCCAACCAGGAGGACCACTGGTGGCCTGACTCCTACGTCCCGGGCCTCTGCAGGTTATCGCTACCATCCCAACAAGCAGGCTCAAGTTTCTGAAGGAGGCAGGCCGGCTCACGCAGAAAGAGGAGATCCCTGAGGAGGAGCTCAACGAGGATGTGGAGGAGATAGACCACGCAGAGCGGGAGCTGCGCCGTGGCCAGATCCTGTGGTTCCGGGGCCTGAACCGCATCCAGACACAGGTACAGGAAGCCCCCAGGGCTGGGCCCAGCTGGTTGGGTGGCCGGGAGTGGAAGCATGTATAAGCCTGCCGACCCGGGCTGGCCACCAAGGGGTAGGGGGATTTGGGTGACTCCTGGCAGAGACCACTACAGGGCCCCGGATTGGTCCTCACATTCACCCTGTGCATACCCATGGCCCTCACACCTGCCCATGCCTACTGAAGGAGCAGAGAAGCCTCCTGAGGAAGATGCAGTCGGCCTGCTCAGCATGCAGGGGGGGGGGGG